AGGGTGGAGGAGGAACCGACCGACCTTCATTATGAACTTACGAGGTAGATATCATTTAGAAACTTTACCTGTCTGTTTCGAGTCTACACTCCGTTGGGCGAGGAATTCGAAACCCGAACGAGCCAATTTCCATGGAAGTTTGCCTACGTTTGTAAAACCTTAACGGAACCGCACTTATCGAGGGAATTTATTAAAATTTGAGGATGGAACGATGTGAGACGAGGTGAAATTAATTCTCAAGGAAACAAACATTAGGGAATGTGAGATTAAGCGTCTGTCAGAAATTTGGTTGAGGAAATTTTACAATGGTTTGAATGGATGTATAATCAAGGAAGAAAGTATCTAGAAAAGTAATCATCAAATGACTTAAACCATCCATGGAGGAATTATATGACTTTCTGTTAATTCGTGTATACAATTTTGTTGATAAAACTTTCGAATGGATGAAGATTTTTGAGTGGATGATTTTTTTTGAATAGTTAGAAAAGTAAGAAAAATAATCATAAACGAATTAAACCATCCATGAAGGATTAATATAAATTCTCTGTTAATAATCTGAATGCACAATTTTGTTGATAAAACTTTGTACAATGAAGAAGAAATTTTGGCAAGTGTCTCAAGAATTTTTTCCGATTTTTCGAAATTCTAGAAAAGCAGAAGAATAATTTCAATCAGAAAATTAATATCGTTACCAAATGGAAGGGAAACGTTAAAAATAAAATTCTTCAAAAAAGACAAGATTGGAAAAATTCGTAAATAAATTAATTTGATCGTTGAAAGACATTAGCACAGGTATGTAAATTTAATTTTTATTTAAATATGAAAAATATTTTTCCGCATACAATTGGCCACATATGGATAAATTCCTTTTCTCGGGCACGTCAACATATTTTCCAATACTATCTATGATATTTCCACACATACTTTCAATAAATTCAACTGGAAATTAAAAAAAAAGAAAAAAAATAACAATCTTCCTCTAGTTCCAATAAATTCATCCCCCTCAAGAGGACGAAACGATTAAAATTACCTACCATTGAAATTACTATTTCTTTTTTTTCTTTTTTCTTTACTATTAATTTTTTTATCCCAACAAATCCGGCAGACGATTTCATAACGGGAATATTTATAAAAATATATATATATATATATATATTGCTCGATCAATACATTTCCCATTTATCGTTTCATTTATCCATTATTAACACGTACGATGTTATCCAGAATTATATATTACGTATCATATGGCGGATAAAATTGCATCGATATCCTTCATTTCACAGTTATTCGCATTTATGTATGGGGAGGGAGAGAATAGCATTATCCTTGGTCACGATACCGAATTTTTAAACATTTTCATCGACGAAAAACCGCAGGTCAACGTGTGAATACATCCAATCGAGAGTATTCATACAAGTTATCTTACCTATTTCACGAAAAATCTAACTTCAATGAAAATCATTGTGTCGTCTATAGAGGATATAATAATTATATGTTCCTTCTGAAAAAAGAAAATATGTTCTTTCCTTTTCAATTTTCAATCAAAAATCTATTTTTTCCCTTATTCCCTTGTACAATTATCCAATTACTTGGAATAATTTTTACGACGAAATAATGGAAGAATTAAAAGAAAAAAAAACCTTACAGATATAATTCAATTATTTTTCTGACCAAACTTGCATTCAAAGAACTTTGAAAATGAAACATTAACGATCAAAATTTCATTCTCTTCTCTCACAAAATTAATAAAAAAAAAAAAAAAAAAAAAAAAAAAAA